GTGGATTCAAAAGTCGTAAATAATCTACAAAATGGAGGAGACCGATCTGATCGGAGCAACTGACAAATAATCCAACTGACACCGGCATGGACCATGACTAAATGTGCTTATCCAGACAAGCCCGGTTTGGACACTTTACGGGCAGAAGAAACATTTCTATTAAAGAAAGAATTACAAATGTCTGTGTTTTTATGCCTTTATTAGCTACTAACTTGAATTGTTATTCAAATTAATAAATCAGTTATTTTTTATATTTTATTGTAATGTAGAGACAAGGCTTTTAGTGACCATCATGTATTGCGTTACAATTATATGTAAAAATAACCCCCAGGCTGGGAACCACTGCCCTAGAGGAGGTGAGGTCCCCCCCCCAGCAGGTTAAAATAATTAAATTGAATACATTTTCTTTTAGTAAACACTGAAAACGGGTCCCACAGACCCAAACAGCACACAAAGGTTAAAGGTAAGCATATAATAATGTTAAAATGTGCAAAATATATACACTGCAAAAAACAAAAAAAAGAGCAGTAAAAGTAGCCCCCGACTTGTTTTATTTTTTGAAAGTAGCTCTCACCCTAAAAAAGGTTGGAGACCCCTGGTATAGACCCCGTGGATGTGCGTGATGTTTGTCTGATGTGTTATTTCCCAGGATGCAGCGGGAGCGTGCGGATCTGGAGCAGAACTTCGCCCGGGAGATCGGGAACCTCGTGAAGAGTCTGAGAGACGAGAAGGACGAGCTGGAGGCGGAGCTGCAGCTGAAGATGGACCGCGAGACGATGCTGCTCAGGTGGGTGCTCACCTGTTACCCAGCATGCAACAGGAGCCCAGCTGTTACCCAGCATGCAACAGGAGCCCAGACAGAGGAGTCATATTTATAGAAAACGAAACTGTCTGAGAAAAAGTCAGAATTTGAAAAAGTCAGAATTTTGAGAAAAGTCAGAAGTTTCAGAAAAGTCAGAATTTAATTTAATTAATTAATTAAATTTATCTTATTTATTTTATTTATTTTATAATTAATGTATCTTTTTATTATTCATTAATTAACACTGAGCTGCGTGACGCTCCCTGAGCAGGGAGGAGGAGACGCAGCGCAACGAGGAGCAGAGAGCATTCTGGGAGAACCGGCTCGACCAATCAGAGCAGGACAAGAAGAGACTGGAGGAGCAGCTCGACCAATCAGAGCAGGATACGAAGAGCCTGAAGGAGCAGCTCGACCAATCAGAGCAGGATACGAAGAGCCTGAAGGAGCAGCTCGACCAATCAGAGCAGGAGAAAAAGAGACTGAAGGAGCAGCTCGACCAATCAGAGCAGGAGAAAAAGAGCCTGGAGGAGCAGCTCGACCAATCAGAGCAGGAGAAAAAGAGACTGAAGGAGCAGCTCGATCAATCAGAGCAGGAGAAAAAGAGACTGGAGGAGCAGCTCGACCAATCAGAGCAGGAGAAAAAGAGACTGGAGGAGCAGCTCGCTATTTTAATGGAAGCTGTGCACGACTCACATCTGCTCCTCAGCCAATCAGAGGCCAGCACACAGGAGGTGAGAAGGAGGTGTAAAGATTTAGAGGAGCATCTTAAAGCTTCTAGAAGGAGGTGCGAGGAGGATCAGAGGAGGTGCGAGGAGTTAGAGGAGGATCTTAAAGCTTCTAGGAGGAGGTGCGAGGAGTTAGAGGAGGATCAGAGGAGGTGCGAGGAGTTAGAGGAGGATCTTAAAGCTTCTAGGAGGAGGTGCGAGGAGTTAGAGGAGGATCTTAAAGCTTCTAGAAGGAGGTGTGAGGAGTTTGAGGAGCGGCTGAAGGAGGCATGCCGTCAGCTGGAGGAGAGCATTGTCTTCCTGGAGTCTCAGGAGCTCCTAAACAAACTCCTGGAGGAGGAGGTGCGGGAGACGAGGAGCAGGGAGGAGGAGCAGAACCTGCACGAGTGCGCCTCCTCCTCGCTGACGGAGGAGAAAGATTCCCTGAGGAGAGACCGCGCCCGGCTGATCCAGGATCTGAAGGAGCAGGCCATGGCTGTGGATCACCTGCAGGAGGCGCTGGACGGGAGGAGGAGCGACGAGGAGGCGCTGCAGGAGGAGGTGCTTCGTCTGAACCAGGAGAACAGGAGCTACTCAAGACTCGCTGATCAGCTGTCACAGCAGATAGTAGAGATGGAGGAGGAGATGAGGAAGAAGGAGGAGAGGGAGGAGGAGGAGAAGAGGGAGGAGGAGGAGAGGAGGAAGGAGGAGAGGGGGGAGGAGAAGAGGAGGAATGAGGAGAGGGAGGAGGAGGAGAGGGAGGAAAAGATGAGGAGGAAGGAGGAGATGAAGATGTTTGAGGAGGAGATGAGGGGGAAGCAGCAGGAGTTTGAGGAGGCGAAGAAGGAGACGCAGCAGGAGTTTGAGGAGGTGATGAGGAGGAGGCAGCAGGAGTTTGAGGAGGCGAAGAAGGAGACGCAGCAGGAGTTTGAGGAGGTGATGAGGAGGAGGCAGCAGGAGTTTGAGGAGGCGAAGAAGGAGACGCAGCAGCATCTGGAGGAGATGGAGGCTCTGGTTCTGGCTCTGGAGGAGGTGATGGACTCCTCCTCTCCTCACAGGTTTGTGGAGCAGGAGGAGAAACCTGGAATGAAACACTAACTCCTCTGAGGAGGTGACTAACTGCATCCATCATGCGAAAGAACTGCAGCCCCCACAATGCACTGCTCTAACTGTGACCTCATCTCTAACCCAATGACAGCATGCAGAGTTAATACGCCTGCTTTTATGACATCACAACGTTTCCTTTGATCTCTGCTTTGATGTTTGAGATCCAACAGGAGATCATTAAGATGATGACGCTTTTCAGGAGATGGAAACAAATCACATTTAAATCATTATAATCATTTCTTAAAGTGGATTTATCCTGCCGTGTTGGAAACAGATCGTAGAGCCATGCCTGTGACGTATTAATACCAAACAGATCACCCATTGTAGCCATGCCTCATACCCCTCTATTCCAGCCCTGTTCCAAACAGGCTGATTCTGCTGCTAGCCGCGCCCCTTTGTAGCTGCTGCTAGCCACGCCCCTTTGTAGCTGCTGCTAGCCACGCCCCTTTGTAGCTGCTGCTAGCCACGCCCCTTTGTAGCTGCTGCTAGCCACGCCCCTTTGTAGCTGATACAGCACATAGCTTGACATGTTCTTTCTTAAGTGTTTACCGCTTATATGTATTATATATATAACAACTTTACTCTAAGCCTCCAGCAGACATCCTGCTGAATACACAGCTGCGACTGTATATGGCGACGATATGTTGGGACGTGTCACGTGTGCCGGAGATGATAGGTTGGGACGTGTCACGTGTGCCGGAGAATATAGGTTGGGACTTGTCTCGGAGATGATAGGTTGGGACTTGTCCCGGAGATGATAGGTTGGGACGTGTCGCGAGGAGTTAGAGGAGGATCTTA